TGTTTTTTCGAAGATAAAAACTGAAAATTAAAGATACGCAAACCTGATTTAGGGATCTGATGCTCTGATACCAAGATGACGAGAACCCCAAAGAGAACAATGAGACCCACAGCACGATAAGGGATTTCTAAACTTCAAGAAAGCTAAATCAAATTTATAATAGGATCTTGACCCGTTGTTTATGTCGCAAGAAGAACCAAAGGTAAAAGCCTTGACCCATTGTCTACGACGCAACAAGAACAAGATGTATAAAGTTGGTTGACGCCACACCCTTGAACGATTAAGAACGAGAATGATAAGTCAAGTTAGAACGCCACAAGAATAATCTTGATAAGTTCTGTAAAGTTCTGAAACGAACCAAAGAGAAAAGTCTCTCAAAATCTCAGATTCAATAGCTCCCCCCAATTAGGGTTACAAGCCCTTTAAATAGGAAAAAGTAATTATAATCAGAATAGGAAAACTAACACGCTAAGCCCTAATCCTAAAAACCACGAATTGGGCCTCAAATAGATGAATGTTCAGCCCAAAATAATACAAAAAACATGAAAATCACTGAAAGTAACCTAAAGTAATATGAAATATTAGTTTGTTACAAATTGAGACAGAATTGCGGGATTTTGACACAAACTGTGTAGTTTAGCATAAATAACCTCAATTAAGCTTCTCTTAAATCTGAATGATATTTACCATGCCTTGATAATCATCCAAGTTTTGATTTACTTGTTGCATGTTGTTATCAACCCAGATCTGCTCAATAAGGCCATTTAAAGCTTCTCACATCTTTTTAGCTCTAGCTCTCATGACTGGACCTCTTGGAATGTGTAATAGATCTCTTGACGTGATACATGTGGAGTCATCTTGATTCCCATCATGATTTCTTTAGTCAATTTAATTCTTATTAAAAAAAGTTAATTTCTTAATCTGATTAAAATTAAACCAGTTCACATTAAGATTGGGGGGGTATTCACAAAAATATATATATATATATATATATAGTCATTTTCTTTATTTAAGAATTTAAAGGCTGAATTTGGTTATGTAAAAAGGTTGA